AGTGGATGTCCGCTAACAGGTGCTGCCATGATGGATCTGAAATGACAGGTGCTCTTTAAATGTAAGCATTCTTTCTTGCTGGTAGTTAGAATCTTTTATATTATTACTTGCAAACAAAATGAAGGTTTCCTCTATAACTTGAAAAGCTTGAATTCATTAAATGAATTTACCAAAAATGTAAATGTTACATAATTAAGCTCCTTTTCATGCTAAATAAACCAAATAATTAATGTATCTTAAATAGAAAACTACCGTATTGTTCGGAGTATAAGATGCACCTCCCCCTGAAGAGGGTGAAAATTAGGGTACGTCTTATATACTGAATGTAGCCCCACCCACTCACCCACCTATGGGCCCAAACCCTTTGGTCTCTGCTCCCAGCCATTTACCTCTTTGCAGCAAACGGGGGCTTGTGGAAGTTTCAATAAGCTATAGCAATCCCTGCAGCCTGAAACCGTGACCCGACAAAAGTCCGCACGACAAAAGCGCGCTGACAAAACCGTGTCGCTCAAACCGCGATGTCATCAACGCGCCGACAACAGCGTGGAGACAGAAGGGCGCTTTATAACAGCGCATCTACAGAAAGCCGGTTTAACTTAAGGTAAGGGTTAGGTTTAGGGTTAGGTTTAGTGTTACGTTTAGGGTTAGGTTTAGTGTTATGTTTAGGGTTAGGGTTAGCGTTACATTTAGGGTTAGCGTTACGTTTAGGGTTAGGGTTTGCGTTACATTTAGGATTAGGTTTAGGGTTAGGTTTAGGGGTAGGTTTAGTTTTACAGTGCCCTTCTGTCGCCACGCTGTTGTCGGTGCGATTCAGCGCTCATTCGTCGGCGCGCTTTAGAACATGCGGTTTTGTCACCGCAGCTTAGTCAGGCGCGGTTTTGTCGTTCGCCCTTTTGTCGGTGAACCGCCTGAAACAGCTGACGATTTAGAGAAATTGAAAGTGAAACTTGCTGTTTCTCCACAAGGCAAATTGCTGGGAGGCAGAGGCAGATTTTTTCCCCCTTGTGCTAATCAGGCTGTTTCCTGCAAGGAGGTAAGTCAACAACCATAAATGCCTATAGAATGTCCAGTCCTTACCTCGTGCATCTCTCATCAGAATGGTCTGGTTTCCTTGCGGCAGGGCTCTTATGGACCCAGAGTGAGCTTCATAAATTGAAGAGTGGGATTCAGCTTTTTTGAGCGGGAGATTCTATGCCAATGATGTAACACAATGGGAAGTTTCCCTTGCCACCTGCCTGCTCTTTGAAAATTCTTTTTGGTGCAAGTCTCCATCGTAGATATTCCTCCTGGACATTTAAAGACTGTGGAGAAGCAGGCACACTTAATCCACTCAACATATCTGCCCATTGCTTAAATTCATTTTTTTATTTTAAAAAAATAATTAAATATTTTAATATGTTTAATAGATGTGTGCTTTTTATTTTAAAAAGCATGTGAGTCATAAATTTGTATGGTATATCATTGTGGCTATGTTAGATTCTTTTAAGATTAAAAAAAAAAAAACTTTAAGTATATACACTTGCTGTTTACTTGTCCCGGATCTGGACTTCAGAACATATATAAGCTTATTGTGAAGCCATCTATGAAACTACAAGTGTGTTTTGTTTTTTACAAAGAGGAAACAAACAAGCTGTTTCAGAGCCTGTGTCAGTGGATCATTTATTGAATACACATTAATTACTGGATATAAAGCATCTCTACAAATGGTGTTACATAGAAATTGGAACTATTCCAACAACAGTAGAGAAAAGTCCTAAGATAATAATAAACATTCTTACCCAGACTGGTCCCTAGAAACCAAAGGTTCAAGCAGGCTAGAATGGTAAGTGTGTTAAGTGATTGTTAGCATCCTCGAAGATTCTGCAAGAACAAAGTGCATCAATGGAGAAGTGGCAGCCTATGAAAGAGGATAAAAAAAAGAGATGCCATCCAACAACAAACAGCTGTTTGTCTAAGATTGGTTATGGCTCTTGCAAAGCCACACAAGGTAGTTTAACTTATTAACTAATTGGAGGGCACCAATGGGCAAGTCTTGTAACAATGTTGAATGTGCTAAGCATTCAGTAATAAGTATTTATACTCGCACTTATTTGGCGGCCCAGACTGCAGCAATGAGTCAAGATGGGTGTCCAACAGTGGCACGAAAAGTGTTCCTTTTTCAAGTAGGCCTGTACAAAGATGGATGCTACTGGTAGAGGGGAGAGGCATTTAACACAATGACAGGTATATTTTCTCTGTGGCCAGTGACCATCAGAAAGCAAACAAGATAACTTCAGGCCAAACTAAGAACATCACTGGTTTGATAAAGCGATATTTACAACCAACCACATGCAAATATATGTCAATGCAATATGCAAAAGCATGAATTGTCTCATAAAGGGGAAAAAAATGGGGGTCTCTCCCAGAAACTTGACACTTTGGAGCTTGGCCATTTCAGTTAAAGAGCATGCTTTCTTAAAAAGAAAGGCCTTGCCCATTAATGCTTACATGCAGCTACAGATAAAGCCACTACAGTTTATAGTCTTTACAAAACATGCATGCCAGCCCTGACCCAGAGCTAGTGACTTTCTTTGGTGCCCATGTTCCTTTTTCTTTATTCTGCTAATCAAAGAAGTGGTTGAGGCTACCACTTGTGTTGTACACTCTGCTCCTTTCATTTATAAAAGACATTGTCACACCTCTCATTGCAGGGATGGGCAACTTTATGACCTGTGGACTTCAACTCCCAGAATTCCTAATCCAGGCTGGATTAGGAATTCTGAGAGTTAAAGTCCACAGGTCATAAAGTTGCTATAGTTGTCCACCCCTGTGTTATTGGATCAGGGCAATTAAAATCTACCTTTATTCTTTGTCATTGAGACTTACCTTATATTTGGGTCAACAGAAAAAAACCCAAATTTATTTACACACACACACACACACACACACACACACACACACTTTTTTGAACAATTAAAAGAGTAATGTTTAATTCTATCAATGAAAAAAGTAAACTGTAAATACTACAAAGGGACTAACAGTAGTTAGCAGCTATACAAGCAAAAAAGGGTTACTAAATATTTACATAATCACAGTATTAAGCATTGATTTAACAGTATATTACAGAAAATTCAAATGCAAATAAATACTTTATAGGATGGGGTTTTCAGGGTTTTCAAGATAGACAAGTTATATTATAGCTTTCTGATAGATAGATAAATAAATAAATAAATAAATACTCTGCTCTCAAAAAGAGCATTTAAAAGCAAAACATATTTACAGTATAGGCAGTTATGATTTTTATATATACCATCCCTTCTATATAAGAAGAAATTCAGCAATGAGAGATGAAGGCAGTGACATGTCAGTTTGGAACTGGTATTGAAAAAATCCAGACAGAAAGAAGTAAATTGGTTTAACAAATGTTACAACAGTTTCAGAGAAAAATAATTAGCAAAAAAACCACAGACACTTTTAAAATTGCCATTCTCTCCTTGCTTTTACAGATTAGATTTTGAAATCATTTTTTTACAAAAAGGGGATTCCTTCATTAAGAAAAAGAGGTGCTACAGATAGTATACAACTTCCTCTCCATAGCATTACTTCCCAAAAAGCACACAAGAGACTTGTAACATTTTTAATATATTGCTAACAATATATAGTATATAATATATAGCTTTTACTGACAGTAAAATATTTTCATCCTTACATTTAAAAAAAACCAAACACCATGCAGTAGCTTTTGTTCAGCATTCAGTGTGCTGAAAGATTCTGCTAGAATTGTCTACAAGATTTTCTTACAATAGGGATAAAATGGAAAACACCTACTGGTATTTTATACATACAGAAACTGGATTCCATGCAAAAAAATGTGAGCACACAAAATTTCAATGCTGAACTGAAAAGCCATACTTCTATAAGGATCCTTTTAAAAACAAAAGCAGGATGTATAGCACTTTTACTGTCAATAGCCATGTATAAATATGAACATAAGCCTTATTAACACGAGTATTTTACAAAAAAAATTCTCTGCAGGAATGTATTAATAAATAGACAATATATAATTTATGCAGCATAATGCTCTTAAATGCACACACACTAGCAGTATACATTATAGAAATAAAATGGAATTCAAAATTTGCCTATTTTTTTCCCTATAAACTGTAAGTGCCCATTTTAAATAAAAAGATTTATAATCCTCCATGAGCTACTCCCCTTTGACACACAGTGTCACAAACATAGTGATGAAAGTACAATATTGAGCTAATCTAGAGATGGCTTTTATATATTTTTATACAATCAAGAAAGATACAATTTGTATCAACAAACAAAAAGTCGTTTCTGGTTATTTGAGGTGTTGCTTTCAGCTACTTTTAAAAGAGAAGAAATCTCCAAAAAAGTGGGGTTTTGTCCTCATTGATAAAAGGATCTAGATAACTCAAGGGTTTTCTTTGTTATGTTTTTACAGCTAAAAGGCCAAATATTGCGAAGAATATTCAGGGAACAGCTTAAACCAAAGGGAAAATCTGCATTTTTATTCAGCACTTCATAAAGCACTGGATAAAACTGGGAATGCTGGGTTCTGCAATGCAGTAAGCTCAGCATGGTGCACTATCCAAACTCAATCCAATCAGCAACCACCCCCAAAAAAGCCACCAGTGTGCCAGCAGCAATTTGAAAAAAGCTGTACACAAATGCAGGGGTCATGTCATGTGATCCACCGCCATTTTCCTTCAGGGAAATAAAGCTTGTCTTTAAAATCAGAAGACAGCTTTGTGGAAGAGCAAATATGCTACAGGCAGGTGACATCCATATCTTTTGTGGTTGGAAAGTTGTTAGATGAATTACTGTCATCCTTCTCTCTAGAGCAGTGTTTCTCAGACTTAGCAATTTTAAGATAAGTGGATTCCAACTCCCAAAATTCATATTAGCTGGAGAATTCTCGGAGTTGAAGTCCATACTCCTTAAGAGTTGCCCAGGTTGAAAAACACTATTCTGGAGAGATGCTACCTCTAGATAACCTTCTTTAATATGTTCAGCAGAATCTCAATAATCTAAACAAGTTCTTTCTTGTTAGTATCAATGTACGATTATGCTTGTTATGGACACCAAAATAGAATCACCACCCTGCCAGTTAGTGACATCATCCCTGTCTAGATCCACCTCGAATATCCTACCTGATGCCAAACAGAAATAAATTAGGCAGCCATTCTGGCCATCGCTGGTAATTATTCCAGCAACACTTTGGACAACCCCTAGATCTGAAAACAAAAATTCAGAAAGCAGCTTGGAAGCCATTCTCAAAACACCAGAAACAACCCTGACGGCAGCCTCGCGTTCCATGTGTTTCCTAGTCAGAAACATTTAGGCAGTGTCACACCTTCTCATGAAGAAACCAAAGGCCAGTAACTCGGCCTTCTCGACTTTCATGAAAAAAAACTACAGTAGAAGTCAACAAGTCCTAGCTCGAGACATATCGAGTTAGTAATGGTTCAAAATGTTCAAAGACATGTTTGGATTTAAAAAGGGTGTCCGCTGAGTGCAGCTTTAAAAAAAGAAAATGGAAAAGCTACTACACCTGGATATATGTCTCATACGGGAGATGTTTAGCTACAAAAGTTGCCCGCTCTTGAGCAAAAATACCCAAGCATTTGCTGAGATGCTTTGAGTCAGTCAAATAGCTCCAAAGAAGCAAATGCATACCTTTGCATGGATCTGACAGTGAAAAATTGAAACAAGTTTATCAATTCTGTAGCATCCTTTAGAAAACAACTCCATCTTCTATCATGAACATTTAATCCTTTTAAAAAATGTGTTTACTCATTTTGTACTTAGTTGTACTTGTGCTAAACTGAAATGTGAAAATTGATTTGGGATGCTACAATTATACCACCTTTGGATTGTAAAGAATTGAATTGTACAATTAATTGTATTTTAAAACCCACACCTGCCAATTTTAACAAGATTTATGTGGAAATGAGAGAGTTACAGTTTAGCTGAGAATTGTCCTTGCTTTCATGTCATCTGTTTGACACAGATGGCCTCGTCCCAAAGGGCATGACCTAAAGCCCCTCCCCCCAAGCAAAGATTGTGTGCAGAAACTGAATTTGCCAGAGAACCGAGTTGTTCAGATCAGAAATGCTCACCATGTACCACTAAGACACAGCAGGTGAGGGGCCTCAGAGACACTCTTTGAAAGAGATGTGAGGATGTTCAAATGCACACAGCGCATTTTTTCTTGGAGCAGCTTGTCAATTAATGCTGCAAATTACAAAATTTATTCATGCAATATAATTGCTAATAGGTTTGAGGGAATTATTTCAAACATAGGACCTTTTGGATTCAAGAAACAGTATATATCCATGCAAAAAGTATGCACTTCCTGTAAAATACATCTTTAAAAAAAAAGAATCCCAGCTTTAAAAAAATTACTTAATACTTACTTAAAATACAATCTTTTTACAGAATTCTTCAACCACATATTCAATGGAATTGCCAAAACAATCTACAGAGTGGTATACCAGAGCGGGAAACTATTCCCCAAACAGAGAATATCTCTATAGAATCACGGATACCTCCTGCAGGACGTTGGTTTGGTGCAATCAGTATTTCTCTCCAGGAATTCAAAAGGATACCATGCTAACGCCCTGTTCTCAATTTGGCAACAATCATAGCTGCTAACTGTTGCGCATCAGTCATGTGTGGATTCTTTTCCATCACAGACAAGACGACGCCAGCAGGAAAAATATTACAGAGGTTCTTATAGGTCTGGTACTGATGCTCTGGGATAACACGTGGTTCATGGGGCTCCCCACAAACCCCAATCCAAGGGTTACGCCAGAGTTGCTCCATCTTCTCAGGCATGCTCCTCACCATGACAGGCTCGTAACATGGCTGCATGAGGTTGTTGCTCAAGGGATAGGAATGGAAAGAGTAGGCATCGGTTGCACATGGTAATGGATCCCAGCTGGCATGTTGCTCTCGACAGAGGGGGGGCCTCCTCTGCCGAGTAGGGTTACTTTCATAAAGTCTTGAATCAGAAACACTATCCATCCTTGTCATAACTAGTGCACGGCTTGGTTGGGTTGTAGCTGATGACTGGTGAACGTTTGCAGGCCCTGGGTAGTCCCCTGGGCAACTAGATCGTGCCCCAACAAGAGGGTGTTGGACGTGTAGTGCTAAATGAGAAGCTGAATGCTTGGGTGGAGTATGTTTGGGCCTTTCAGTGCCATAACTCTGAACTCTAGTTAAGCTCTCGTGATAGCCATGAGAAAAAGGCTGAAGTCTGTTTTGTGGTGGAATTCGAGGAACTTTAGCGTGATCCTCTGAACCCACATCTCCTACACCCAGGTACAGGTCGGTATACGAAGAAGAGTAAGAGTCATTACTTGCATGGCTTAAGCAACTGTCAGGACACGGGCTTGAATTTCTTGAATAGACACCTTGGTCTAGATTGACTCCATAGTAATCTGTGTTATGAATATTGCTAAGGTTCAAACTGGAAAAGTCATTGAGCATAGAATAATAGCCGTGGTCTCCCAAAGATTCATATTTGGTGTATGGGTCCGTGTAGTTGATTGAAGCCCCGTGGCTGTTGGTGACCAGGATTGGAGGGTAGTGCATGCTGGCCATATGTTCTAGAGAGGATTTCTGATGGGTGAACTGAGAAGAAGACCCAGGCACAGGGCTACTCGCTGACCGAGCATTTAAGGCCCCAACTGCATGGCTTTTAGGAGGTGGAAGCGTTGGGACACTTAACGCTGTAACAAGAGATGGGACAGAGCTGGCCTCTGGCTTCCGCATCATCGACAGCCGGTCCTCCGGTTCCGCCACTACAGACCGGATGCTTGGATCAGACTGGCGTTTCGGAGGATTGCGCTTCACTTCTGAAATGTTCTCCCCCCCTTTGCAAAGGACTTGCCCTGAACCACATTTGGCTAAGGCACCTTCACTCATGGTTTTCACCGCAGATAATTTTGCACTGATGCGAAGCTCATCTGCGACAGATCTCAAGGGCTGGTTTGTCCGTTCAGGGTGGTAATATTTACATTTGTGCCCATATGTGCATTTTTTCCCTAAGGGGGAAAAAATCCTCTCTGATTAGGCATATTCTTTGCCAACTATATGTCTTAACTTGATAACCCAAGTGAAATGCTTTGTTCTTACCACAAAAACATAAAATAAGACATTGGTATTTTCTTACATCATGATAAAAGGTGCACAATTTTCCTTATTAACAGTTCAAAATTCTTGTCAAGGTTTTAATCTGAGTGACAATGCTCCATGAAGACAGCTAGAGCAGGCCCCACAAATAAATATATTCATTTAGATGTTCACTCAAAATGAGATGCAGCTAAATTAGAACACAGTTTTGTTGTGATAATATTATTCTGATCAAAGAGAATCATTAGGATCTATTCCTAAAAACAAAATGAATGAAGGCAAATATACATGTTCCAGGATAATGCTGCAGGGTCTAATCTGGCTCCGTCATCAGGACCAGAGGCTTTGTCTTCCAACCCTAACAAATACTTACAAGGCAAGGGCTGGGCAGCACAAGGAAACAACAGCCAATGACTTAAAAGCCAGCCATGAACACACCCCATTCTACATCCAAAAAGCCACTTACAACAGGCACTATAAATACCACACACAGAACAGCACATACTATGCTACAGAGAAGTTCCCTGTGCATTGGGCTCCAGCATGAGTCTGAAAGCTCAAAAGACAAAACCTCTAATCCTGGTGACCAAGTCAGATTAGATCCTAAATAAAATGAATTTCTTGGCTGTAGATATAATTGAAACTCCATAGGCAAGAGAGAGCAGAAAACTAAGGCTTTACTCTCAAAGATCATGTTAAATGGATCACATGGCATAAACTAGAGAAATAGTATTTCTATGCTGCCTCCCAACTTTAAAAATTCAGAGTAAATTCTTGATTAGCCAATAAATCTAAATTGTATTTTCTTCAAAGCTATACTACTTTACTACCATTATGAGATGGAAAATAATAATATAATTATTCAATATGTTGATTGCTTATTTTAATCTTCCCTAACCTGGAATCTTCCAGAGATTTAGGGAACTACAAATTTCCAATTTAAAAAAATGTTGGCTATGCAGTCTGAAAGTATTCCTCAAACTTTTAGAGCAGGGGGTCTCCAAACCTGGTAACTTAAAGACTTATGGATTTCAACTCCTAGAATTTCCCAGCCAGCAACGAGAGAACGTAAATTTCTCCAAATCCCTCCAATAACCTACTCACCATAAGGGCATGGTTGCTTTTTGTGTTCTGGAATAACTGGCTTTTTCCTTAAGAAGTTTTCAAGACTAGGGCCATGGCGTCCCAATGGATCATCAGGTGGCATAAACCTAGAAAAATGAAATATAGTCAAATTTAACTGCCTAGCATTAATCTCTCTTTGACAAGCTTCTATTTATTACTTCTTGTTCTGCCTGCTTTGGAGAATGAAAGACATGACAGTCTTCCAATATTTGAGGAGCTGTGACAGAGAAGTGGGGTGTCAACCTATTCTCCAAAGAATCTGAGGGCAGGAAAAGAAGTAACGGTTGGGAGATAATTGATGAGATCCAGCCTAGAACTCAGGAGAAATTTCCTGTCAGTGAGAACAATTAATCAATGGCTTGCTTTCAAAATTTGTGGGTGCATCATTATTGAAGGTTTTTAAGAGATTGATTGCAGCCATTTGTCCAGAATTATGTAGGGTCTCCTGATTTAAGCAGGGAGTTGGACTAAAAGATCTCCAAGGTCCCTTCCAATTCTGTTATTCTGCAATATATAATAACCAATATCTAGTGGGTAAGGTCACACAATATTCTTATATTAAAACAGGCCATGACTTATTTACTGTAGTTATATAGTGTATACAGAACATAGACTGATGGTGATTTAAAAGACCATTGGCTTACCTGAATGGTCGTTCTCGAGGCGCTGTGGAGTGTCCAAGCTCGGGTTAACTTCAGCTTGCTGCCCAAGGAACTGAGTTTGAAACTTTGTTGTAGCTCCGCCTCCTGGTTGCTCCAGAGGCTCAGTTTTAAAAAATTCAGTCGCCCAACAGGACGTATTTCCAGGGGCTCCAGTCCTTGTGCAGCAAGCTGGGCCCCAATTTAGTAATTCCTAGAGAGTTGTAGCTCCTTTTTTTGCTAGTTTGGATAGATAGGTTGTAGTTAGGTTTTTTTTTTCTCCTGCTCTTCTTCTTCTTCTGCGAGATATCTCCTTGAATTCATCGCGCAGGCAGGCTCCCTGGGGCGCTCGCAGCCCAGCCTCCACCTGGGCTGCTCCTTGGTCGGGTCTCCCTAAAATGCCGGTTCAGTGAGTACGTGGGGGGGGGGGCGATTAGGCAGCTAAAGCCCTTCTGAGCCCCTGACAGGAGCGCTAGGCTCTGTGCCGGCCCGACAATGCTCCAGGCGCGCGCGGCGCGATCGCCCGCCATTTTAAACGGTCCGTTTTGGCGCGCTTTTGTTTCCAGGCCTCTATTCTTGCCGCGCGGCCTCCTTTAAGCAGCGGATCGCCGCGGAGGGCCGCCTTAAGCCCGGAGC